CGTCAAGTCCGGCCTGCAGATCAAGAAGAACGCCATCATCGACGACTACAAGGTCACCAGCCAGGTCCTGGGGCTGGGCATCAACGGCAAAGTGCTGCAGATCTTCAACAAGAGGACCCAGGAGAAATTCGCCCTCAAAGTACGTGGAGGGGTCCGGGGGTGGGGGGGCCCGGCCCGGCCCGGGGCGCCCGTCCCGGGATCGCGGCGGGACCGTCGGGCCCGGGACGCCGGTGTGTGTGTGTGGGGGGGGGGAAGGGGGATGGACGCGGGCGCGCGCCGGGCATGGTGGGGTCCGAGCGGCTCCCGGGGTCCCCCCGAGTTCCTGGCCACCCCCGAGCGTGAGTGGCGGGGTGGTCGGGGGGAGGTTGGACGACTCTGCCCTGTTGAGGTTTGAGCGGGATCTGGCTGAGGTGAGGCTTGGCATCGGGGCGCGGGGAGGGGGGGCACGGCTGCTGATTGCTCCCCCGTCTCTAGGAAGTGGTTCCCCGTCCTCCCTCCTGCCCTCCCTCCCCCTCTCTCGCCCCTTCCTTTCCTTTTCCTTTTCTTTTTTGCGGGCACAAAAGACCCATTACTCATGGAGCCGGCTGGACGGCTGGTTTGGAGAAGTCGGAGCTGGGGGGGTTTATTTAGCCTCGCTCCTTATTTGGGAGCCGGAATGTGTGATTTCACTTCCCGGGGCCTCGCCGGGGCGGCCCGGCCGGCTCCCGGGCCCCGCGCGCGCGGGGCTGGAGATTCCGCGGGACGCCGCCCCCCCCCCGCGCGGGGGAGGGATTGTTTTGATCCGGGGAGAGCCGCCCCCTCCCCCTCCCGTCCCTGCGAGGCTCCAGATGGGAGGCCAGCAGGCTCCGGCGCCGAGTCTGCTTGTTTCCATAGTTCCATTGATCTTTGTAAACCGAGTCTGGAAGCCACGGCTTGGCCCGGTGCTCACTCCACAATCCGGAGACAGCCACTTAAACCTTGGCCCCAGCGACTGATCTTGGGCTGGGGAAATCCAACCTCTCTCTCTCTCTCTCTCTCCCTCTCTCCCTCTCCCCCTCTCTCCCTCTCCCCCCCCCCCCCGTCTGTCTGTTTGTCTGTCTGTCTCCTTCCCTTTTGGACGGGATTTAAGTAGCAACTGCAGTGAAACAGAATGAACTTGGAGGTGTGGTGTGGTCCCCGTTCATTAAGGGTCACCGGAAAGGTTTTCTTTCTCGGAAGAGTTTCAGGTCAAACCACATCTCTAAAGGTCACCTGTCAAGTCTGTTTCCCCCGGGGTGTTTTGAATGATTGGAGGAGGAGAGGAACACTTCCTGTGTTATGTGTTTTTCTCTTCCCCTCTAGACTGCAGTTAGCTGTGTCTCAGCGATCAGATAGAACTCAGATGGACTATTGGGATATACAGTTATATGGCATTAAAAAACCCCACAAAACCCAAACCAAACCTGGTACAATGTCTAGATTTTAAGGCCTTTAAGGTAATTTTTTTTTCTTGCCTTATTTGCCCTCAGTGCTGTCAGGATTGCTTTGCTTTTCTACTATAAGCACTTGCTGAGGGATTTTGGTTATTACTTAGTGTTGACTATCTAGGGGGAAATTAATCATTGTCACAAACACTGTAATAGCTGTACCTTCAACCTCCCTTCCATACTTGTTTGTGAGGGGGGAAAGGGGAGGAGTTGTGTGGCTAGATGGCTCTGACCTTGAGGACTAGAGGTGAGTGAGTAGTTTGACCACAGTTAACCTGTACCATTGGGAAGTGACAGATGTTCTTTCCAGGAGAGTTTTTTGGCCTTTCTGAAATGCCATCTGCCTTCACCAATCAGCAGCCTGGGGACACTGGCTGTTCATTCATTCTGTTATAGTTGGAAAGTAATATAAAGAATTCAGAACAAAAACTCTCAACTTATTTTTAGTGAACATGTGCATGTGCACACACACACACACATACAAACTTCCAAAATGCTTTTGGGTGGTCATTCAAATTTCACTGTAATTAATAGGAGAGAAATTTGGATATTTGTTTTTTTCTCCTTGAATAGTATTGAAAGGAAAATCTAGCATATATTAAATAACATTCATGGTTTATATGTCTCCAGTAAGAAGTGGGTGAAGATTGAAGTCAGAGTCTGTTTTGACAAGCAGCCTGCTCCCAGATCTTAGACATTCAATTGTAGATTTCCCACACATCTTTGTGTGAACACTTAATAATAGAGGAAGAAAGGAGGGATGAGGCACTTGGAGACTGACAGCAGTGTCAACAGCGCTTTCATATCCAAATATTGGCTAAGACATAATTACAGCTGTGGGAGAATCTGGTTCAAAGAATCTTGTTCCAGAGACTCCAAAGAGATTTCTAGATCTTGCATTTCGATTAACTTTAGGTACTGAATAGTGAGGTGATGTTCTAAACCTTCTGATGATAAGCATGAGCGGAAGTTGTAGTAGTGGGGGCTGGCAGGATTGGAGATCTCATCCATGGATGCTGAGAGGAAGGGAGAAGACCTGTGCTCTGCAGGGTGTTTGAGCCTATTCCTGAGTTGTCATGGACGTTTGGGATGTCTACTGTCATGTGGCCCTGAGAGTTAGTGGAAGTTGGTGAATGATCGGAGGAGGAGAGAAACACAAGCTCTGGTCCTGTGGCATAGTAAAGTCAGTGCTTTAAAAATGGTCCCAAGCTCACCTTGCTGCTTGTTTACTTCTACTGTGGAGAGCTGATGATAAAATGCTCCCCACCCCTCCATGCTATGGTGTGGCTTCATCATCTCTCCTGTTAGATTCTAAGTCACACTCGTACTTCCAGGCAGAGTTGGAGAAGGTGTGAGAGGTCTTGTCATCTAACTCTCCTTTTTCAAGGCCTAGAGTGAGTGACTTGCCACTTACTTGGCAGAGGCAAGATTAGAACCCAGGTTACTTGATGCTAGTCTTAGGCCTCTCCCTACTTCCTAACTGTAGTGACATCCAAGGCATGGGGACAGCAGCTGTTTCAGAGCATCTGTGGAGCGGCTGGGACTATGGGCCTTCCATTGACTATTGTCCAGTGGGCACTGACTAGGCCTCTGCCACAACTTAGAGGCGCAGTTCCAAGGCACCTCAGGAACTTCATGAGTTCTGGGTTTGTGGTGAAAAGCTATTAAGAAAGTTTTTAAGGGAGTATTGGATAGAAATCTTTATTATTTTGTTATTGTTTGTACAAAAATGTAGGAGTTGTATGCTTTCTTTGGTAGAGACATGTAGTCTCAACCCATTTGTATATTAATTGGTTGTATTCCTCAAGGGTTTCCTCAGCTGCTTTCTACTTCTCTATGTCATGGTGACTTTCAGGGATTAGCTGAACAAATTTAATTAAACCTGTCTTGTGTCCTGCTGTGCAATGCTGATTAGGTGAAGCATGTTATTGCTTTATAAAATGTAGAATGTTGTCATAACTTATCTCTGTTTATCTTTCCATTGCGTAGATGAGAGGAAACAAGGTCCAGTACTTTCTTTCCTTTTCTTTCTCCTCTCAGCCTCCCTCTCCAGGTCAGAGTTGCCACTGTGATGTGTCTTCCTTGGGTGTCATGAAGACCATGAGCGCCTCACACTTAGTCTGCACACTGTTAGAGAGAAATGCCCAGGCCCCTCCCCCGTCTCCCATTCTGTGACCTTTCCCAGAGGTGACAAGTAGTGTGGCTGGGGGAGAGGATAAATCTCAAATTGGGTTTGCTGGGTAGAATGATAAAGTCTCACAGGTTAACTAGCCTCTTACATCTGGTGTTGTTCCAGGTAGGTGTGCATATATGTATACATATATGTACATATGTATTCCCATGGAGGATATAGTTGTAGGTAGTACCTTATAAAGTTTTGGAGATCAAGAGAACTGTTTGAGCTAGCCCTGGTAGTACACACTTGTAAGCCCAGTCCTTGGGAGGTGGAGGCAGGAGGATGGAGAGAGTGAGGCCGTGTCATGAGGGGCTCTGTAAAACACCAACCAGCCAACCAATTCGGAGAAGGCAAAATGAACAGTCTAGGGCCTTATTGTCAAATATGGTAGCCACTACCAATGTGTGACTGTTAATATTATAATTAATTAACATGAAGGAATGAAACAACTTGCTTGCCACAAGTTGAGTCTGCAGAAAGTTGAACCTTGCAAGTTTTACTGGGCTGCTAAAACATAATGCTTAGGAAGAAACTTTGGAAAAGGGACATCTCTGAGGACTGAAAGCTTCAGCTGGTGACAGCGGGACTTCACTGGGCCTTTGAGGAATGTGCAGGTCTGTTCATCTCATGTTGAAGGTGGTCATGGCTAGCGTGGAGGAGAGAAGCCGGAGACCGGATTGGTCAGGGCAGGTGGATCTAGGGGCTCAGGATTGAACTTCATCCATCTTGTATCTAAGCAGGTTTTGAGGTAGGGGCTTGAGGATGTTAAAAGTTTGAATCACTGAAATGTTGGGCTGTGAATTTTTTTTTGCCTCTTCTGTGTCTGGGCGCTGTCCCTGAGCTTCTTTTAAGCTCAAGGCTAGCACTCTAACACTTAAGTCACAGCTCCACTTCCAGCCTTTTTTTTGGCAGTTTACTGGAGATAAGAGTCTCAAGGACTTTCCTGCCTGGCTGGCTTTTGAGCTTGATCCTCAGATCTCAGACTCTTGAATGGCTAGAACTACAGGCTTGAGCCACTGGTGCTGGACTGGGGCTATGGATTTCCTTCCTACCTTCTTTCTTTCTTTCTTTCGATCTTTCCTTCTCTTTCTTTCTCTCTCTTTCCTTCCTTCCTTCTTTCTTTTCTTTTTCCCTCCCTCTCTCTCTCCCTCCCTCCCCCTCTCTTTCTTTCTATCTTTCCTTCTCTTTCTTTCTCTCTCTCTTTCCTTCCTTCCTTTCTTCTTTCTTTTCTTCCTCCTTCCCTCCCTCTCTCCCTCCCTCCCCCCTCTCTTTCTTTCTTTCTGCCACTCTTGGGGCTTGAACTCAGGGACTAGGCAATGTCTCTGGGCTTCTTTTGCTCAAGGCTAGTACTACCACTTGAGCCACAGCACCACTTCTGGCTTTTTCTGTGTATGTGGTACTGAGGAATTGAACCCAGGGCTTCATGCATGGCAGGCAAGCACTCTGCTACTAAGCCACCTTCCCAGCCTGGGGCTATGGATTTTTGAGGGAAGCATGGTTTCATTCTATTGCTGTGTT